GGCGCGGCCGGCTCCGCGGGCACCATGAAAATGCCCGCGGAGCCGCCGCTCGCCGCGGCGAGGATCCGGGGCTCCGCGGGGTGCCACGCGACGCGGACGGCGCCGCCCGGCGGCGGCGGCGCGAGCGCGGCGCGCATCACCAGCGCGGCGAGCGGCACGGGCGCGCCGCTCGACCCCGAGGGGTCGTCCACCTCTACGATCTGGCGCACGATGAGGTCTCCCGCCACGCTGGCGCTGGCGAGCAGGTTGCTGTCAGGGCTGAAGAACGCGGCGTCGGCGATCGGCGCGGCGTGGCCCTTGTACAGGGCGCGGCCGGCGGAGGCCTTGTTGATGCAGCGCAGCTGGCCGGCGCGGAGGCCGTAGACTATGTATAGGGAGTTGGCGGTGATCTGGCGGAGGTGGGCCAGCTTGAAGTCCGTCTTGAGGACGGTGATGGGTTGGACCTTCGGGAGGGCGTTTGGAGGTTCAGGGAGGGTGGGGCCCGGCTTCAGGGTGGGGTGGTTGCAGGTAGTTGCTGGGTAGAGTAGGGATAGTGCAACGTGCGGAGGGCCCGGCGCCCGAGGCAGTGGGAGGGGGTGTTTGCGGGCCGGCGCAGGCGCAGTTGGAAGAAAGGGCACATGCGCCGGCGGCGTCGCGGCTGCTTGGAGGCGTGCGGTGCCAAGGTGGGGGTCGTGGCGACGGCGCCGCGAAGCAACCCCGCTGCACAACAGCCGCGACGAACCACAAGCCATACCCCCGTCACACAATTCATAAGAATCTACTGCCCACCGGTATCTCGCCCGCCTCGCCGGGCCGCAGCTCGTCCACGCGAACGACAACAACCGCGCCACTCACAGCACGCCCTGCTGCTGGGCGCCTGCTCGCACGCGGGGCGCCGTCCGCAGCCGCCGCCGCAGCAAGTGCAGCAGAGGCATGGCTGGAGTACAAGCCAGCGGCTGATGAGTTGGCGGCCCCAGAGGTGCCATCCACCTCCTGAGAAGCGTTCTTCTTGCCCCCCCGCAGTAAGCCGAACATTGTGCCAGCTTGCAACCTCAGTCAAACATGTAATATGAAATTATCTCCGATAGTTTGATCAGCGAACGGCAAAGGGAGAGGGGAACTCCGGCTGATCAGATCGTCGACAAGATCAGAATGCCATCACCAGGAACAGTGGGAGGGTGTTGATCGAATTCATTCAAAACAAACAAAGCTCGATATTGCATGACAAGCTCCTACCCATCAACACACTAAGTTTCACAATTCCAATTTCCAGAGTTCACAAAGCATCCTGATCTGTTGCGAAAGCTTGCAGGGGCTCATAAGTGAAAGGGATAGCTAGACGTGACCTTGCAGGGCCACATCCAGGGGGACAAGCGGCACCGCTCTGATCAGCGGTGGCGGCAGCGTGCCTTGCAGGCGCCGCACACGCCTCCCACCCCGGCAGCGCCGCTGTTCGTCGAAGCCAGAAGACGCCATGTCACAAATGACGGGCGGCGAGTTTCCGCCGCTGCTGTTCACGCTGCCTAGCGAGCTGCCGCAAGTCGATTACCGCACCCCCAAAACCACTCCGCTGAGCGGCATGCGCGGCGAGAGCTCGCTGTCGCAGCACACGCGGCGCTCGCTGACGCCGCCGGGCAGCGTACACACCGACAACACGCCGCCGCGGCCGCCCCCCATCATGCGGCTGCAGGACGCTCTCATGGCTGGTGAGCGGCCCTGGGCGCACAAAGCACGCAGGGCGGCGGTCTGGGCGGCGCAGGTCTGCAGGTGCCTCACACGCACCAGAATCGAAATTGGTGCTATCGCTCGCATGGCCCCAACCGTTCGTGTGCCCACCCCTTCGTCCATCCACCCTTGCCTCGCCCAGAGGCCGACGGCCCGGGCGCCTCCCCGCCGCCCAGCGCCGCGGCGCCAGCGGCGGCCGCAGGCGGCGCGGGGCCGCGCCTCATGCCTGTTGAGTCCCCGTACACCCAGGATGACTCGTGGGTGACTGTTTACGGCTTCCCGCCCGAGGAGCTGGCATCCGTGCTTGGGGAGTTCCAGCGCTGCGGTGACATCATCCAATGGGGCACATTCGGCGCAGGCGCCGGCGCAAACTTCGTGCATATTCAGTACCAGACGCGCTATGGCGCGCAGCGCGCGCTGCTCAAGGGCGGGGAGCAGCTGAGCAGCGCGCTCATTGTTGGGGTGAAGCCCCTCGACCCGCGGCAC